AATTGCCTCTTTGTTTTGTACGTTTAGTGTTTTTACTCTGATGTGCCGTGGAGAGTTTCTTTTCTGGTCCTGTCTGTCTGGTGTTCTATATGCTTCTTGTATTTGTATGGGCAATGTCTTTCTTTAATTTTGGGAATTTTCTTCCATGATTCTGTTGAAGGTCTGGTCCATGCCAATTCTTCTCCTTCCTGTATATCTACGATTCGTAATTTTGGTCTTTTTATGGTGTCACACAATTCCTGCATATTCCATTCTTGTGATTTATTAAATTTTTCATAATCTTCACTTGAGTGGTCTAGTTCTTCCACTTTGTCTTTCAGTCTTGATACTCTTTTCCACATTTCATTCATCCTATTGGTGACGCTTTCTCCTGTCGTTTCTAATTGGCTTACTGAGTGTTTCACTTCCGTCTTCATTTCAGCCTGAGTAGTCTTCAATATTTCTAGCTCTTTTCTGAATTTATTCAGGCAGAAGTTTATCCTTAACATACTTCAGGTCTTTGATTTCTTTGTGTGTTCTTTAAATTCACTGAATTCTTTTATCATGTTTATAATTGTTCCTTTACGTTCCATGTCCTGCATTATCTCTAGGGGGTTCTCATGGTACTCCTCTAGAGGACTACTGATATTTGGTAGCTATGTGGTATTTTGGTTTTTCATGTTGTTATTTTTTCTGTGTGATTTTGACATGTGAATTTCTTTTGTAGTTTCTGATTCTTGTGTGAGACTCAAGCTTTCAAGTTTGGGTCTGCTTCTTTTTGTGAACTTTATGTGTCTTTGTGATTTACTTTTGGGGCATGAAAGGCTGGTTCCTCTTAGCTTCCAGTTCTCTCTTTTGATTTTATACTGAGTGGCTAGACTGCTTTTGTCTTCAGAAGTTCCCACAGAGGCCCAAGTCAGATGAGGATCAGATGCTCTCAGGCTTTCTCCTAAGGTCTGGATCCCTCCAGGATAGATTTTGGCCTCAGGAATTTGGGGGTTGGACTGGCCTAGGAGCCGGGCCCAGGAAAGATGCTGGTCTAGGGCAGCTGCTGGACATACCACCCAGAGATGCAAAGGAAGATGGGGGCTGGAGGCGGCCCCAAGGGCCCCTGGGGACTGCACTGAGGAGCTGGGTTGGTCTGGATGCAAAGGACCAGGAAGAGGAAAGATCAGCCCAGGAGTCCAGGAATCGGCTGGTGGGTTGTGCAGACCCAGGGATACAGAGGGAGGTGAGGGCGGGGCAAGGCCCAGAAGCAGTGTTCCTGGGGACCTGAGAAGGAATTGAGTTGCTCTGGATGCAAAGAATCAGGAAGCAGTGGTGATTCCCCAGGTGTCTGCCACACCAAGACAAGGAATGGGACAGGACCCAGGCTAGGAGGAGAAGCCACAGGGGAGATGGGAGGGTGAGTGAGGCTGGGGGAGTCAAGGCATGGAGGGCCCAATCGACTTACCCCAGAGAGAGAAGCCTGTGGGTTGGAGAGAGGCCTGAGGGTCCTGCAAGCCCAGGGAAGCAGAGGGAGGTGAGGGTGGGACCAGGCCCAGAAGCAGTGTTCCTGGGAACCTGAGAAGGAACTGAGTTGCTCTGGATGCAAAGGATCAGGAAGAAGCAGTCGTGATTCCCCAGGTGTCTGAGGTTCCAAGAAAAGGAATGTGACAGGACCCAGGATAGGAGAGACGGGCGGCCAGGGGAGGTGGGAGGGTGAGTGAGGCTGGGGGAGTCAAGGCACAGAGGGCAGGACAGACTTACCCCGGAGAGAGAGACCTGCAGGTCAGAGAGAGGCCTGCAGATCCTGCAGGCCCAGGGAAGCAGAGCACAAATATGAATTTCATGCTAATATTTTCAGGCCTAACTGTTAGCTCTTGAAAATCAAGAAAAAGACTAAATTCCCAGAGTCTGGAAAGCTAGCCCAGCGGTTAAAAGCACTGGCTGCTCTTGCAGAAGAGCTGGGTTCAAATCTCAGCACCCACACAGTAGCTAACAACCATCTGTCTCCAGTTCCAGGGGATCTGACACCCTCTTCTGTCCTCCACAGGTACTGCATGGCACAGGTGCACTTATGTATATGCAGGCATAATATCTTTTTTAGGGGCTGGAGAGATGGCTCAGTGGTTAAGAGCACTGACTGCTCCTGCAGAGGACCCAGGTTCGATTCCCAGCACCCACGTGGCAGCCACAAACCATCCTTAACTCCAGTTCAAGGGGAATCTGAAGCCCTCTTCTGACCTCCACAACATTGTATGACACGGGTACACGCACATACATTCAGGCAATATACTCATACACATAAAATAAGCATAATAAATAATATATAT